TAATGGCGAAGATGGTTTTCAATCAGTACTAAACGCAATAGCCAAAAGATTTCCGCCGAAAAAAAATAATTCTGCAACTTATTCAAATTCAAAACGGAAGGATTTAATTGCTATTTTATATTTTAAACAATAATATAAAAAACAGTATTAAAATTATCTGTAATTAATAAAGTACATTTTCTTTATTCTACTTCTTTACTCAAACTTACAAATCGCGCGAACCTTGTTGCGATAATACATAAGTACCCTAAATCATAACAATTTTCCAATACCATATTAATTTATTTACTCCTTACATTTAGAACAATGCATAAAAATAATATCCTCAAATGATTAAAAATACTAACTTACCTAATCTTCATCAGAATCTTCATTACGTGGCACGCACACTTCCTACAGAAAGAGTTCCAATCGGCTGCAATTTCTACTGCTAATTTCTAAATCTGAAATCCAGTAGTCAACTGGCAGTCTATTCACCCAGTAACAAAATTAATAAAATTTCACCCATACTCAAACTACTTTCAGCAAACCACGTACCCTTCCTTACACTCCGTTTCACAAAATGTCCATTTTCACCATATTTCTTGCACCGCCATTCAAACTTATCTGTAATATCCTTCCTTTCACACAATCTCATTTCATTCCCACATGTTGGACATTCATACTTATCCGCAATTAAACCTACACTCGTACACCATTCAACCAATTCTTTTGAATTATCAGATAAATGCATTAAAAATTTAGAATTGACTTTAGATAGCGCCATGCAATCCAAAAATTAATCAACACTATTTCACACAACACACAATGAAGCTTAATACAAAATGCAGCTATAGTACTGCAGATGTTTTTCCAAATTTATCCCCTTTTCCTATTAAAGAACTGTAATTTCTCCATTAATGTCACATGACATATCTCATGATCTCTCATTTCCCTCACACAAAATAATGCGTAATCGGAACTCAGTACTTCTCACATTATTACCAAAGTCTTAGGTAGTAACCTTTCTCGCCTCCAAAATGTCGCCAAACAACCTGTTACCATATTCCAAAGATCAGCCACACATTTTAGTCTATTACAATCTCGGCAGATCCTAAATTCTGCTGACAAGTACCCCTCTTAATTCTACAAATTTTACTACCTATAAATACTGCATTCCAATGCCTTCCATGAACTCTAAAGATTATGCAATTTCTCAATTCTGTTACTCAGTGCTTCTCTAAATTCTAAAAATTCTGCCATTTTACAGGTCATCCATCTCTATATCTCCCGGGTTTAAAACAAATTAGTTATTCTCAATTCAAACGGAATTAAATGTAATCTTTTGGCCTATGAGTACCATTTACAAAATCTATTTTTTTCATATAGAAAGAAATTTCTGTCGGAGAAAAACCTTTTCAGGACAGGTGTGTAATATATGAATTGTCATTTAAATGTACTGTCAGGACAGGTAAACCACATAACAAAATTTTAGATAGAATGTTTAATTAATACATTTTTCTGGCCACTAAATGTAGCCTTATGTCTGTTATGGTAGAATTTATAGAGTGGAGAAAGTTGGACTTCATTCCACTGCAGTATTTTTAGTTTTTGGTATTTTGTTTTAGAATCAAAGAAGAAATCATGGATTGAGTAATGTAAATAAACTGAGCTGTTTATTAAATCGCATCAGCTAACATAAACCCAAGGGGGCATGTCCTCGATACTTCTCAACATACTTTTTTACTTGTGTGGATCAAGAACTTGTGTATATTTGCAGTCAAATGCTTGCTGGTAAAGTACATAGCTGTCAGTGGAGTTTCAGATTTGGATCATGGTTTTCGTGTAGTAAGTTACCTTTGGAGAAAGCTTTTTATCATTACTTTCGAAATTTCGAATTGCAGAAATACATGCAATATAGGAAAATCGTGGCAATTTTGTTCACAGACGTGCGACTGGCAAAATTTTATTAACGAATGTATTATAGTAAGTGCATTTTTTTTACTGTTTTTATTTTGTAGAATATTATGTTCATTGTTTTTTTACTATGAATTTCTGTTGTTATTTTTTGAATTGTTTGTAATAGTTTATTTTGTTGATTTGTGCGCAGTGCCCAGATTGTGCAAGTCGTAGATTTTTTTTTAAAGTTTAAACAGGATGCTGTGTACATGGTATTCTTTGAAATTTGTTATGTTCATTTATTAAAGCGAGGTGTGGGTAGTTCATAGATTTGTTCGTTGCCTAAATTTTGCAATTCGTAGATGTTTTTTTAAGTTAAAACATATTGCTGTGCACATGGATTCTTGTCAAATATTTTTGGTTAGAAACTTTACATTTTTGCTATCTAAATTTTTTGTTTACGTTTCTGATTTTTAGCTTAAATTGTGTGTTCAAAACGTGGATTTTGCATGTGCGAAAACCACGTTTGTGGAGACATTTTAGGCTTAAAGTTCGAAATGTAGACAAAAAAATTTACATAGTAATATGGCACCGTGGATTTTCTCGGCAAAAGTGTTTGGCGAGAAATTTGTCGCCGCATTTGCCAACCTGAGGGCGGGTATAAGAGTAGTTCCAAAAAACTTACTCAAATACAATTACAACTACATTTAAAAATTCCATTTCTTTAAAATAATTTTTTTTGTTTTTTTAGTCCAAAGGGGCTTTGTTCCTGAAGGACTATTGTTTTCATTTTGCGATTTTGCGTCGGACTCATAAACGTCGGTTCACTTTTCAAACTGTTGCCACAAAATGTTAGAGTCCTGCATTATATTTGAAGAAATTAAATAATGAAAAATCTGCATAAATGATTGTCTATTTCTCGCATTGTGATAAAACAATGGTACATAGAGCCATCGAATTTTGAATGACGAAATCCTACTGCGAATATGGGCATCTGAAATCCCAAATTTGGAATTTGTTTTATTATAGATTTTATTTTTGTAAAACTTTAATGAATTTTTTGATTTACAAACTCAATGTTTTAAAAGCGAGAAATGGCAACGTATATAGAAAAAAAATACTTTTATCTCCAGCTCGCGAGACTGTGTATATCGGAAATTCTAAAGATATGCTTAATTTAACATTATTTTGCGATATTGTTCTTGAACTGAATTTTATGGTTTAAGTGCAAAGAACATGATATTTAATAAATAAAGGTAACACTCAAAACGTTAAAAAAAAGCCCCTTTGGACGTAATTTAAAATCTGAAACATTTCAGATTTTTTTATTTATTTATTTATTATTTTTTTTTTTTAAGTAGCATAAGAATGTATGAGGCATTCTAGGCTCTACAACGGCATCAATGAACATATGTCTTTTTTGCATGTATAAAATACCTGAGTTTTTCACTATATTCAGATTTCATGCACTAATGGGGGATTTACTATTTACTTTATCTTAAAAGCTATGCAACTCCCTTCCACAATTAAAAATATTACTATGAAATTTAAATGTGCTTATAAGTCTAACTTATAAGTGTATTAAAAAGTGTAAAAATTATGATGCTGTTTTTTTAATGGAGTTTTTTGCAACTGTTACATCTGCAGTTTTAATTTTTTTTCCAATTTCAGATCCATAAAAGATATATAGGTAAGCATAATAAGTATTCAATAACTATTTTACACATTAACATTCGGGGAAAGTGCAGAATCGCCCACTGCTTGACATGTTTTTAAGAAATGCACATATTCGGTATCCATGTACACATCCGACATATTTTAACTTAAAAAAAATCCCAGAATCGCACAAAAATGGCATTGTGCACTCACTTGACTTTATCCACGTACACATCAACCTATTTTCACTTTAAAAGTCAAAGAAAATTGACCAAAATCCTACTCTTGTAAAAAGCGCCAAACAAATAAGTGGGCGATTCTGCACTTTACCGTAACATTTAATACACTAATAAAATGCACACAATGAATGGTTAATTTGAAACTTTTAAAAATAAAATATTTGGTAAGCCTATTTCAGTACAGGATACATGACTACATAAAGAAGAATGGAAAATAACTTATACACTGTAATTTAAAAGATACGTTGATTTTGACCAATTTATAACTCTAAATTGATTATACATGATTATAACAATACTTTAAAAAAATATAATTTTAAATATCTTAAAAAATTTTTATTTATTCTATCAACATTTAAGTTTAAAAAAATGATGTTATCAAATATTTAGACAATATACAGCAGAACAGAAATTTCTCTGCTTCAAGCAAAACATTTCATAAGCAAAAATAAAGTAACTTCAGTGAAAGAGTTACCCCGGTTTAATCCTAGTATCCGGTGCACACGGGATTAGACCAATTAAAGACTTTCTAATTTTCTGAACTCTTACAAAATCATGAACAATTTTAACATAACTCACATTAAACACAAAATTTTTGTTTCAAATAAGATAAACTATGGAGCAATTTTTAATCGCATAAACTACGTTATTGCTATTTTAAGATCACGCAATGATTTTAATAAAAGGTTAAATAAAGATAAGAAGAACGATTTTTTTTCACATTCACTTTCAAAATTTTCCGTTTACCTGTTATATAGTGAAAAAAATACCCATCACTTTACTCTTTTTAAGATTAACAATAACTTTAATAAGCTAGTAAGTTAAAACAAGCAGCAATTTAAAAAAACTTATATAGGCATAGAATTTGACCAACTTATTTTAGTTTATAATATTAATAGCAGTATTATAAAACAAAATTGCGTTTCACACTAAAATTAAAATAAAAACTTATCACTCAAGTGTAAGTGGAAAAAAAGAAACTAGTATAAGTAAGTGCAAAAACAGAAACTAACGTAAGCCTAAGATAAGCATTAAGTTATTTACATACATTATATATATGTATAAATTTTTAATAACTAGAATTATTATATGCTCATCATATAGTGGAAAAACGATGATTACCTGCATTCATCACAAACAAATATTCAGAAAGAAAGAGTGAATTTTATGTAAACAAACAATGATGTAAACAAACGAAGACCCGCTACATTAAAAAACGTGGTTTGACCGTAAACACGTTTTAGGCTTAAAACAAACTCACATTTTTGGAAGCTGCAGAGGAGCTGCACCTTTTCTTTGAAAGACTCCATCAACAAACACTCCATTTTTTCCATTACAAGTCATAAAGAAGTGTGGAGATTCAAAAGTTATTTCTAAATGTCTTCTCGAAATAAAACTCGAATGACCCATGTTTACATCTACTTCACCAACTCGGCTGTTTCGCCCAATAGTAATACGGTACTGTCTGATCATATACTCGAATTCTCGGCCTTCTAGCCTTGCAATAGCAGCTCCTTTGGGTTCGGGGCTCCATTGCACTTTCGATGGACTTGCTGGTGCAGATTTTAAAGCTAACAGTGCCCAAGCATCACTATCTGAATCTTTATGAGAACTCGCCATAATACACTACCGACCAAAATGGCTGACGCCTTCGCGTGGACCACTCGCTCCGTAACTACAGTGAACAAACACAATCAATGAAAACCGTATTTTGGTTGGGATAGTCTAACAACGAACGAATAGCCTCAGCTCATTGGACAAGATGCGAAAGCGGAAAGGGATGCTTCACTCTAGTAAACATACTGTAAGTACTGCGCATGAGCAAGTGACACCGAATGTAAACATTAGATGGCAAGCCGGTTAATAGCAAATTGTAAACAATGATGAAATTCGTGGCGCCATTTCGCGAAAGCTAACTTGAGAACAACTGCCCGAAATTTAATATCAAATCCTTTACATCTTCCACACAGCAGGAAGATAATTTAGCGGTTTAAAAGTTATAATTTTTAATACAGTGGAAAAAGAATGCAAATCTGAAATAAACTATCGTTGATGTTGGAAAAGTAATAGTCTAAAACTTCTTGTGGCAATATCATGCCACTGAAGCTATCAGTATGCTACTCTTTATTCAAACCATGATTAAAACTTATCCTTATGTGACCGTATGTCAGTTCGGCATTCTTGGAAAGGGGCCAACAACAACAAAAAAAAAAAAAAAAAAAAAAAAAATAATAATAATAATAATAATAATAATAATAATAATAAAATTTTAAAAAAAATCTGAAATGTTTCAGATTTTAAATTACGTCGTCCAAAGGGGCGTTTTTTTAACATTTTGTGTGTTACCTTTCTTTATTAAATATCATGTTCCTCGCACTTAAACCATAAGATCCAGTGCAAACAGCAATATCGCAAAATAGTTTTAAAACGAGCATATCTTTAGAATTTCCGATACAGAGACTCACGCGCGCTGGAGATAAAAAGTTTTTTCTTCTGCACAACGTTGCCATTGCTCGCTTTGAAATCCTTGAGTTTGTTAATCAAAATTCGTCAAAGTTTTAAAAAATAGGAAATCGATCATAAAACAAATTTCAAATTTGGTCTTCCACATGCTCATATATTCGTTGGAGGATTACGTTATTCAAAATTCGATGACTCTATGGTACCGTTGTTTTATCACAATACGAAAATATACATACATTTATGCAGATTTTTTCATTATTTAATTTCTTTCAAATATAATGCAGGACTCTAACATTTTGTGGCAACAGTTTGAAAAGTGAACCGACATTTATGAGTCCGACGCAAAATGCCAAAACGAAACTAATAGTCCTTCGGGATTCAAATCCCTTTGGACTAAAAAAAAGATTAAAATTTTGTGCTGATATAATAAATAAAAGTGAAAATATTATTTTTAGTGTGCTATAAAGGTCACAGATAAATTTAATGCTTATTAAATTTAGTAAATAAATATTACTTTAAATTTATTAGCATATAAGCTGAAGTAATGTTCATAAATACAAAAAATAAATTTTCTTGCTGGTTTTGCTACGCTTGCGTAGTCTACTTTCAAAAAAGCCTTCACTTAGACATGAGTAAACAAAGAACAAGTAGAGGGAACAAGAGAGATTATTAGAACTCCACGGCTCTGTAGAAAGCTTACTGAAAAAGTTTTAACAACTTTTATGGGGTACTTTTCTTTCCGAATATTAAAAAAAAAGTATTCTACATTCTAAGCTGCAGATGTTAAGAAAAATATGAAAATAATATTCATTATATAAATCTTTTATAACATAAGATTAATTTTAGTTTTAGAATGTTCAGAAGTTGAAATTTATGTGTAATGCTCAAAGTGAGTGCAAAAGGAGAAGTGAAGTGTAAACATTTTATGTTAAATATGTTATGTTATGTTAAATATTTTATGTTTGTGTCAAGTAAATAAACTATATTACAAAAATTATCTTCTGGTTCGAAATTGGCGATTGATGCTACTCTGACCAGCGTGCCACAGGGCTACTTACTGGCCTAAAGTATTCAACTTATATGGAAAAAACATCTCACAAACTCTGAACATTACTCTAGGTGATGCGATCCTCTCACAAAATACTTTTCTTCATCCGGCATTAGAAACAGTAGCATAAACAGGAGTATGCAAGTTTAATCGCCGGGTACCGCATGAGCTGACTCAAGCAGATAAGCACAGGCGTGTTCGAGTCTGCACTGATCTCCTCGAATATCATCGCAAAGACAAAATTCTGGACCAGATCGTCACTCGTGATGAAAAGTGGATCATTTACTTCAACAACACAGGCCGAAATGGTTCTATACCCGGTGAGCCCGTCGGCAGCGTCGCAAAGCGCAATTTGATTAACAAAAAGATCATGCTTTGTATCTGGTGGGATTGCCATGGTATTATCCACAAAGAATATTTGGAAAAAGATAAACCCTCGACAGTAAGGTGTACAGCGAGATGCTAGTCGGTGCTGACGCTGCCATCAAGAAATAACTTTGTTAAGGTGAGTTCCGTCTCAAAAAGATAACGTTCCATCAAGATAATGCAAGAACATATGTGTCTCCATTGATCATACGGCCGGCTTATGCCGGCTAGGAGGATCGGGGCTGTCCTCCTAATAATAATAATAATAATAATAAAGTGTCTGCATTCACCACTCTGGACTCTGAACGGAATCGAATGTTTTATTTTACTATACCCACCATACAACTCCGATATCGTTCCTTCCAACTTCTACCTTTTTTCCTATTTGTAGCTACATCTTCCTGGTGCTATCTATCATTCTGCACAGGACGTCTGAAATGAGGTTGATCAGTTTTTGGACTCAAAGCCACCAAGTTTCTGGGCCGAAGGCTTTAAAAAACAATCAAAACGTTGGCAGAAAATCGTAAATTTGGGTAGTGATTACTAACCACACTAAAAACACTGTTTTCATACTTTTTTTTACAAACTTTATTAGGAACGTTCTTGGAGGAAAACTTTCGTTACAATCAAATATTTAAAATAAAGTTCCTCCATTGTAGATATCTTCAAGTATACTAAATAATACAAACACCTTGTCGATAGAACTAGGGCTTCCCTTATTAAGTCTACTAGTGATAAATTTGATTACATCAATAATTGAAAATTCGGAAAAGATTGCTTTAATTTCGTTGTAACCTTTAAGCGTATCCGAGAAAGTAGTAGAAATATGCTATCTGAATTTTTAGCATTTTTCTTCACTGTTGCTTTGGGCTCTCAGAATTTTTACCAGCGAATAATCTATTATTGGTAATATTTCTGCCAAATTCTAAATCTGGATCAGAGGAAAGTCCAGATTTAGACTTATCACCATGAGGTGCAATTTCTTCGGTGATAGTTTCTCGTGCCTGTTTATTGCCTTGTGGCTCCTCGCCATGTGGTCCAGAACTGTTTTTGTTAAGAGTCAATAATTTTCTCAGAATGTTTTTTATGTATATTTATTAATTGAACTGAATAAATAACCACTTATGTAAACTTGATGAACTAGATAGAACTTTCTAAAAAATCGAGATCTAGAAAGTTCTAGAAAATGAAGACTATCCTCCAATAAATGGAACATAAAGAAAACAAATTCACAGGAAGATTTTAAAAACAAAAATCAGTTTTTAAGTGACTTACCTTTGATGAGTTTCGAACTCGGCACTTTCGGCTTTCGAATCCGACATCTTACGCACTGAACGACAATGTGCTCAGTCGAAAGGAACAGTTTTCGTTACATTTTAGAAGCAGCGTCCCGCTGTGATTCTGGATTCTTGCAACACATTGTACGGAAATACTGGGCGTTCTTCCATCATCTGGTTGTCCGTTTGGATCAAGATAGGGTTTCAGTCTCAATACGTGAACGACGTCTTTTTAATTCCGTCGTCTTTTGTTTTATTCCATACATTCTACTTCGTACGTCACATCAAATAGTTGTTCTGTTCAGTCCGTCCAAAGTAAGTATGATTCAATGTTTTAGACGCTTTTCGGACAATTGAACCCTTCGTAGAGTGAAGACCTAAAACTAGGTCCCTGATATTGTAGCTGAGGGTCATTACTTCTCGTCATATCAGCGCATGTCTGTGGCAGACACCGAATATAAAGTTTTATAAGCTGTCTAGCTTCTTCATCTCTGGTGATCAGATGCTGCATAAAACTGTCGTCGGGATCTTCGGTATTAGATGTAAAAATTATGTTGAGAGAAGACTGGATATTTTTACCATGAACGAGAAAGTATGGACGTTGTGTCTTGCTTTTCTGATTTATAGGCAAAAGTCACAAATGGTAGGATGTATCCGAATTTCTTTGCTCAACGTCTACGTACATGAACAACAGATCTGCCAGTGTCTTGTTGAATTTGTCTGTTAAACCGTTTCTCTGTGGATGGTAGGCAGTTGTCAGATGAGACGTCTGGCATAATAGATTGATGTCTTTAAAAACATTGGATAAGAAGTTATGTCCTCTATCACTTATTTCTTTGGGGGCACCATGCTTCAGTACAATTTCTTCAACTATAAATTTGGCAACTTCGGTGGCCTCAGCAGTTGGTACTGCCTTTGTAACTGTAAATATGATAAGGTAATCTGTGTAAACTACAATTCACCGGTTCCCATTTCGGGTAACAGGAAAGCGCCCAAGTAGATTTATTCTAATTTTGGCAATGCTATGTCAGGAGGTTTTATCGGATAAAGCTGTCCTGGTGGAAGCTGCGGTGGTGAATTTCTGTCCTTGGCATTCTCGACAGTCTGATACATACCATTATATGCTCCCATATCGTCCTGGCCAATAATACATCCTCCTTATTCGGTCGTGAATTTTCGAAATGTCAATTTTTCGGTCATCGAAAAGGTCCAAACTTTTTCTAGTATTCTTTTTCAACAGCTCGTCTTGCTCAACACTGGTCAGATCAACATCCAAAACTTTTAGTGTTTCTCGAATTAATCTTTTTTCTGGACTTAAATCTCTCGGAACCTTCTCGAGCCTGAATACTCAGGGAGCAAATGCCGTCGTTTGCTATGGTCGTTAAACAACCCTTCCTCTTTCGGTATCAATTACTTTCGTCGAGAACAATTTGTCTTGTATATTTTACAACAAACATTCTCAATGGGGATAAAACTGGTATCGATAGCTCTCTTACATACATCAGAAATATACTCTCAACAGTCCCCACAGCTCCAACTGCTTCCCGCACTTCTGGATTCAAAGCACATATTTGCCTTGTTGAGTTTGCTTCAATTAAGTAATCTGTTGCGGCAGATAATGAAACAATGAACACTCTGATTTGTTTAAACCTTCATTGTCTGGAAGAATTTCTGAAAAGCTGCAGATTTTTGATTTCCACAATTGATAACGGAATCAGTGGAACGGAACAAGTTCCATCCAAATATTATTTGATGGCTACATTGAAATA